TTCTGATACGTTAATGTTCGATTTTTCTAAGTTATGTACATGTTAATGTTCCGATTTTTCTGGGTACTATTTATTGTTCATAGCCAGCAAACGGTAACACTAAATTGATTGTTTATTATTTTAAAAAAGAATTATTTAACCCTGTAAGTAATTTACCACTCTAGTAGGGATTTTTCTTAGTCAGTAAGCGCCAGCAACTGAACTAATTGGTTTATTGAGGAAAAAAAGTAATTTACCACTCTGGTGTTGAATCTCTCTTAGTTAGCAAGTGCCAGCACTGAACTAATTGGTTTTTTTTTAGAAAACAAATTTACCACTCCAGTATTGATTTTTTCTTAGTTAGAAAATGCCAAAACAGAACAAATTAGTTCATTACGTAAGAAATTATTTTACCACTCTTGTGTGGAATTTTTCTTAGTCAGCGAGTGCAAGCATTGGACTAATTGGTTTTCTAAAAAAGTAATTTACCACTCGATTTTCGAATTTTTCTTATTCAGCAAGGCCAGCATTGTACTAATTGGTTTAATAAGGAAAAAAAAGTCATTTGTCATACTTGCGTCAAATTTTTCCTAGTCAGTAAGCCCCTAGCACTAAATTAATTGGTTTATTATAGAGAAAAAAAGAATGTACCACTCTAGTGTTGAACTTTTCCTAACAAGTGACAGCACTGAAATAATTGGTTTGTGAAGAAAAAAGGTAATTTACCACACTAGTGACAATTTTTCTTAGCCAGCAAATGCCGACGCTGAACAAATTGCTTTATTATGAAAAAAAAAGTAATTTACCACTCTAGTGTCTAATTTTTCTTAGTCTGCAAGTGCCAGCATTACAGTAATCGATTTATTATGAAAAAAAGTTATTTACCCGTCTAGTGTCTAATTGTTTTAGTCTGCAAGTGCCAGCATTAGATTAATTGATTCATTATGAAAAAAAGTTATGTACCACTCTAGTGTCTAATTGTTTTAGTGTGCAAGTGCCAGCATCAGACTAATTGATTTATTATGAAAAAAAGTTATTTACCACTCTAGTGTCTAAATTTTTTAGTCTGCAAGTGCCAGCATTAGATTAATTGGCTTATTATGAAAAAAAGTCCTTTACCAGTCTTATGTCGAATTTTTCCTGTTCAAGAAGCACCATAACTTAATTAATTATTTGTTTAGCAAAGACATGTTTTTTATTGCTTAAAAGAACTATTACAAGCATTTTTATAATATCATTAATTCTAGGCAAATGTGGTGATTGACTTTAAATTTTATTCAAAATATTTACATTAGATATATTTTGAATTTTAAATTAATTTTTTTAATAACCGCTTTGAGCACTGGAAAGCCAATAAGTCCTAATAATAATGACGATATTTCTTATAATCCTTATCAGTATAAAAGCCATTTTGCTTCTTAAATCCTTTTTCGCATAAATTGTTTATTTTTAATCCAAAAATAATTGAGTCGTGGAAAATTTGAATGTTTTTTTAAGTTTTGTAATTGAATTCATATTTTAAAATATGAGACCCTCTACACGCATTATGCTTTAAACAAGCAATAGCAATATTTACTTTTTTAATTTTGCTTTTCTTTTAAGTTAATTCAATTTGTTTTTATGTTAATTATATGAAATAATTAAATAAACCTAACAAATAGAATTGCATAATTGAAAAATTCTTCGACAAATCATTTTCATGGTATCAAAAACGTGTATCAGTGAAGCAATCTAATCAAAATTTCTGAAATATTGCATGTGCGAAAAATACTTTACTTTTGATACGAAGATCTAATAAGTTTCATTTTGAATAAATTATATAATACCACCAACATAACATCGCACAAATATTTATAATAGTTGATGTAATAGTTAATAAAGAATTTAATGAGAATTCATCCTGATCTTACAGAAGTTAAAAAATAAATTTGCTAAGATAAAAAATAACGAATATAATTTATAATATTTTCAGAAACCTAATTTTATTTGGAATGCTGTAGAACGTAGGGAAGATAACACTGGGGAAATAATTCCCCCCCCCCGTTGCATGGGGTTTTTGAACAATTTTTGGATATTTGTGTGTCGCTAAATTCAAATTTTCAATCGGAATTTTTCGAATGCCACGGCCACACAGGCAATTTAAGGCAGAGTGTACGTTTCTTGTTTTTCAGTGGTGCCATTCCATGGTCAAGTATTCGTCTTCAGCCACACACACGTCACAGCTCGTTTTATACAACGGACTCATTCACACATCCATTCATTCATCCACAGATCGTAATTTTGACCTGAATCAGAAAACAATCGATCTCTAATCCAGTACTCTCAGAGGTATTGATTTGTTATGGGAATATGGAGGACTTTGCGACTCGACAGATTTAACGTGCATCAGTCACCATTTACTTCACGGGGAGTCTTCGGCTGGCGGGATTCGAACACACGAACTCTCGGACATGGGCCCAGCACCCTACCGACCAGGCCATCCCGGCTATAAATAAATAAATACTTGCAAGTATTGCTTAGTTAAAATTATTTTTGTAAACGAGTTTTAAAAATGAGGTTAAATATTTTTTTATTCACCCAATAAGATATTGAATATTTTGAAAAAAGGTAAAAGTGAAAATAAAGGCGCTTGAACGTTTGAACAATTATTTTGGAGATGTCAAATTGGGTTTGACTTGTCTGGAAGCAGCCTGATTGCTCAGTTAAACTTATAGGTGTCACAAAATTATCCAGGGCTTTATTAAAATTATATAAAATTTTAATAATACTTCACTATAAAAAATGGATTTCACGAAATTTCTTTCGTTTATTTGCGAAACCATTACCTGGTTCCTAGCAAACATTTTGTCAAAATGACGAAAAAACTATCGCCACTTCCTCTTGGAAACGAATTTCGTCAAAGATAAAGAAATATTTCATCCTTCGTCAGAAAAAAAAAAATAGAAAAGAAAACTCGTATTGCTTTATGTGTCAACTTTTTAATAATAACTTTATTGTGTGCATTATAAGGTGATTCAATGTCGTCCAAACGACGCAAAAAGGACAGATGGAACAGAGAGGTAAATTACATACTTGCCCGAAACGGAGTCGAACCTGGGATCTTCCTGGTACGAGGCCAACGTCTTAACCAACGTGCAAGACGCTCGACTTGTTTCGTCACTGTAGTTTGGTCATCTAGTCTTCATCCTAGGTTTCTCATTCTAGTTAAAAAAACTCCCACAATGCACTGTAATGACGTTCCGAATTTGAGGAAATATTTTCGTCATATATTTGAGAATTCACGTTTTGTCACAAATCGTGACGAAATGACTCTCAAAATTGACGAAATGCAATTTAACGATTGCTGAATCGTCAAAAGTGAGAGTGTTATTTCTGAGTGTGTAAGTTAATTAAAATTGCCACTATTATCCCAGATGTTGTTAAAATATAAATTATAATTTGATAAATTATATATATTTCGATTATTAGAGCATATATAAGATATGTAAACTATAGAATAGGATTATTTAATTCATGAGCGTTCTACATCGAATTCTTATTTTTCTCGATTCAATTAAGTGTCATATTTTTAATGAACGATTTAAAATTCGTTTATTAACTATTTTAAAAAAATGAGAATAGTTGAATGTTTAAGTTTTATTTCGAATTGGCATTTGGGTTTTTGCTTTCTCAATCCGAGACTTGTTATTATAAATATATAGAAACATTTAATTTCGCAATTTTTCAGAATACTAAAAAAACATATTTTTTTAACACCATGAGAGGTATTTTTAAAATACGATATTGATTGAAAACACCTAAAATCAGCTTGATTGAAACATGAAAGGTTTTCTAATAGTCTCTTTTAAAATCATTACTGTTTCATGCAGCTAACAACAGCCTTTCTTTATTGATTTTTTCTTAGATTTTGCTATAATTTTCCCCTTAAATATTAATTTGCAACCTTAATAGTGCATGCTTTGTTTTCGGTTTCTTTATAGCAAGAATTTCAAAAGCATTATAATTTTAGAGAAATATGAAGCAATGTAAATATGCATTACGAAAATTTATGCTTAATAAAATATGCAAATAGGAAACACATTACTTACATTTTCTCAATCTGATTTGATACTCAAAATAAAATGACTCTCAAAGATTTTCTTTAATTCATAAAGATGTTATTATAAATATTTATCTTCTGTGATTTCATTACAAAAATAAGTATCTAGCAGACCCTGTGTTTTATTAATTTCTCATGCAAAAATATGTATTTTTGAAAATTCCTCGCTTTAAATGCACTTAATTACATAATTTTGAACGTATTAAATGCTTCCAAAGTAGTCATTCACAGTAACTATAACAATATTTCATTTATTAAACATACTCTCTTTTAAAGCTTAATTAATGTTGTAAACATACAGCAAACTGAAAAAAAATTGTAGAATGGCAGTCTTAATTTTATATATCGAGTCATAAAAGATATAACATAAAAGATAACATAACTTCACATAACTTCATAAAAGATATAACAAACCAATATCATTAGCCATTCATCTAAATTTCCGACCTATTTAATGAACAAAAAATTTAAAGGTCATAATTTATAGCTACTGAAAACCATTATTATAATCTGTATATTTACCACGAAAACCATAATTTCTTAATATCTCCACCATTAACATCCATTAAATCGTAAAAGATCATTAAGCAATGCGCTTACATTAGATACATTAAAAAAATTTAGTGTTACCTTAAAAGCATTCAACCATTTTCGTTAAAAATTTAAATACAGCTTTCTAACGATTGGTATAAATGATTGCTTTCTCCGAATAAAGTTGAAGAACAAAACTGACTTTAAAATCATTTCCCCACCCCTTACACTTAAGGAGTTATCGGCTTTTATAAGATAGAACTTTTTTTTGTTGAAACAATCAAATGTATCCATCAATCAAAATATCAGAGCCGTGTAATGACTTTCCGAAAATAGGCTTTCGAAGAAAAGAGGAGAAAAAGAACAGCAAGAGCAAGATGAGTTACTTTTGCAATATCACACTCCCCCTTCTTTATTTTGTCATCTAATGCGCGTGCGTGAAAAGCTGGGGTAGTCCGGCATCCATCCGGCAGACAGGCTCACACGTGTCTTTGTGAACTCTAGGTGGTGTTAGCGTGTCCCGTAGTGATGAGGGTTTCAAGTCCGGTTGTTTGTGTTTTTGTTGTTGTCTTTTTGGTTGTGGATGTTGCGTTCTGTCAAAGAGGGAAGGATACGAAGAGAAAGAAAACGACGGTTAGAACAACAACTACTACCACAACAAGAACTCCTAGTGTGAAAATATCTAATAAATTACCTTCACCTGGACTTCCCAAACCTGGTAAGCGGAAAAACAATTCAACTTTTTCTATTGTACTATTAGTTGAAATGTTTACCGAATAAAATGTTTACTTAAACAATCCAGTTTGAAATTCAGATATCTAAAACGTTTTAGACCTACAAATCTTACAGCGGAATGTAACATTTTTAATCCAAAATATTATAAATATTTGAATTTAAAATCCCTGTATAAAAATAGTTTGCATTTATTTGATATAATTTGAAACTTTCGATAATCTTAGTTTATAATGTTAACTTGGAAAAGAAAAATTGAAAGTGGTATTATTACAAGGAAAACATATGTTTTTTCAACGTATATTTTTATATAAACATAAAAAAACATATTATACAAAAACATTATAAAAAAACACATTTTCAAATAAAATTTACATAAAAACATATTAGAACATATGCATTTGTGTACAAATTTATCAACTTGAAATTGAATTAAACCGCAAAATATGTTAATTGATAAAGTAATGCGATATTTAGAGTAACAGTAATTGTGCATAAGATAATTTATATACATGTAGCTAAACATATTTATATAATTGATCTTGTAATAGTCATCCAGATATTTTAGATTTTTTATTTGTATTAAAGTTGCGACATAGCTGAATAGAATTAAATTTGTGTTAATAAACAGCAACTACTTTTAAAAAATGTATTTCATCAAAACCGTCAATCGTGTTTAAATTCAATTTTTTGAATCTTTACATTTTTTGAAGAAAAAAAATAATTTTATTGCTGTACTTTGAAAAATTTATCTGATCCGATGAAACTAAATCAAAGTTTACAAATTATAAGAATGTTTAGGAATGCATTAACTGATCAAAATTCTGAGTGAATTTAAATTTATGTTTATAAATTGATCAAAAAATGAGGATGATCATCGCAGCCCTACAAAGTGTTTTCTTTTTTAATAAGCTTTTCAATTTGAAATTTTGCCCTAGAAAGGAAATTACTTTTAACCAAATTTGCGTGTATTTTCAGACGCTATACCGTAGGAAAATCTTTTCACCGCAAATTCTTTTTCGCCTCCATAACTCATTTAAAACTTATAGTACATAAAAAGTTATTTCAGACAAACCTAAAGTAAGCTATCAGGTCTCAAATACCGAAAAGAAATGTTCGAAATATCAAAAGGAAAATAAGTTATGAGAAGATAACTTAGGATTTTGTAATGGGGAAGTTTTATTCCAAATTATTTGTTTGCATTTCGATATTTTTAAAGTTTTTTTCGGCAATTGAAACTTTATGGCTTACTCTAGATTTGCCTGAATTCACTTTTTTAATACTTTAAATTTTAAATTAGGTGTGGAGATGTGAAATAGAATTTGCGATGAAAAGGTTCTATGGCTGTATGACGTCCTCTTGAAAAAGTTTTGAATGTGCTCCAGCTACAGAAAACGATTGCGGGAATTAATAATTTATATTTTTTACGAGTAAGTTAACAACTATTATAGTTGCTAAACAACTCAATAGTTGTTCAAAAAACTATTAATATCATGTTTTGTTTCGTTTATTGACTATAAATACGTTTTTTTATGTTAAATCTAAATAAGCATTTTTGAGGAATATTATGCTTTGAATAACAAGTTTGAAGTTTATCTTGATTAACTATGAATACGTTTTTATGTTAAATCTTAAAAGGTTTTTTTTTGCGGAATATAACGTTTTGAAGGATAAGTATGAAATTTATCTATGAATGCTTTTATTAACTTTAAATACGTTTTTTATGTTAAATCTTAGTAAGTAGTTTTGCTGAATATAATTTAATGTTCAAATCACTTTGATATATTTGAATATTGCTTTTGAGGTTTGTATTTATTAATTGAATAGTTTTCAATAACCATTATTAAAAAATTTTATTAAAATTTTGCATCGTTCCAAACATAAACATAGCTATTCTGGTACATAGGTTAATTAAGGAGAACAACGATTGACATGACTAAGACGACGTTTAAAAATGGCAATTGGTGGACCATGTAGCTCGAAAAAGTCGTTCGGCTTATAACATGTTGAACTGGAAAGGGTAATAAAATAAAGAGTCGCGATGGCTCAGGGGATAGAGAGTTCGTCTTCCATTTAGGTGAACCGGGTTCGAATCCCAACAGTGGCTGGTCGATACGATTTTCGCATCCAGCAAGCACCGACCACAGTGCTGACATGAAATATCCTCAGTGGTAGACGGATCATAGGTGAGAGTCCCCTTGCCGTCAGGCTAACCGTGGGAGGATCTCGAGGTCTTCCTCTCCATGTAACGCAAATGCGGGTTAGTTCCATCAAAAAGTCTTCCACGAAGACAAATTTCTCCCGATACTTGATACAGGAGTTCCTTTGTTTTCTGAATTGGGTTCAAAATTACAGGGCTACTTAGTTGAACAATAGTAGTGGTAAACCCAAAAATTGGATCAGCTATTCAACGAAGATTATTAAATAAAAAGTTAGAAAAGAAGTCATTGTGGATCGGGTGGTAAATTCCTCATGAATTAGAAGACAAATGAATCATGCATTTTGAAGGCAAGTGCAGAGAGGATTTGAAAGCAAATGCAGCAAATTGGATTTTTTTTTTAAATTTGGAGAAAACTTTCATCTAGCAGTTTCTTGAAATACAATCCATTATTTTTCATAATTATTGAATATGAGTGTCATGGTACCTCATGGAATTGGACGATCGCCTCCCAATGAGGTGTTCCAGGTTCAAATCACGACGTTGAAGAGTTGACACAAATTCTGCATCCAGCTCGTACCATCTTAATATAAGTATCCAATTGGCATATTTTGCACGTTATACTTTCTGAATAGGAAAGTAAAATTAAGAGAAAATTATATCATGTGATAGAAGTATAAATTGTTATTATGTTAAATTCTATGCTTGAATTTTAATTAATTATATGTTTACATCTTAGAATTCTTAATGAATATGATGCATTATCTAAAACAAAAATAGAAAATAAAAATGCTTAAAAAAACAAATATTTTATGATTTTTTTTTAAACTGTTACACATAATGTACATTAAGTTAAAAAAATGTATCGAAGGCATCTTAATTAAATTTAAGATATACGTCTCAAATATTGTTTTTCTTACGAGATAATCACTTCCGGCATTTGTTTGGAATGCAATTCATTATTTTGCATAATCGCTTTGAATAATGCTTTCTATTGCTTTGATTCGAATATTATCCTGGTTGTTTTAATGAATTGTAATTAGCTAAAAGGGAATAAAATTTATATAAAAGAAGGGAACACAAAAGTGAATAGCTACATTAGTCTTTGACTAGTTATACTAGTTAACAAATAAAAGAAATGTAAAGAATATGACCCTGTAGTACTTAATTAAAATCTTTTATCATTTTGTCCAATATAAATGCATACAATTCTAATGTTCACAGGATAGTTATCTTAATTATGCTCTTGATCTACACAGCAAATATATATAAACTCGAAACAAAGATAATAATTTATCTATTTTTTAGAGAATTAGTAATTAATAATTAATGGAATAATTAATAATTGAGAGAGTAGTTTATTAATCTTTTTATAGGAGTTAAACAGCTGAATTTCTCTGGGTACAGAAAATTAATTTTATCACCAGTGCTAAATACCGATCATTTGATTTATGTTATTTGAGTTCATCTCCGGAGCCTTGGAAATTTGAACTTAACCCAGAAAACTAGAGAACTCCAGGATCAGCATTAAGACAAACTCGTATTCAAAGAGCTCTATTTAATGAATCTAATTCGCATTTGCTTTGCTCGGAGATTAGTTTTACATTGAAAACTAAGACACCCTCCCACGGTTAGCTCGATGATAAAGATATTTTAATCCATTATTCCTTAACACTGCACAAAATGTTTGCTAGCAACGTTGTCAGTGCAAACCGGGAGCAGTTTATGTATAGCCAGTCATTGCTGGAGTTTGAACCCGTTTTACAAAGAAGTATGAAAGAGTTTAATGATAAATGGACGGAAAAAAAGCAACATAACTATTCGTGTTTGAACGTATACAGCGCCCCTCTGTGGTAGTGAGTTTAATTACTCGTTATTTAGTTAACAATACGTTTATTGTTAAAAAATATGTTTGCTGTTTAACAATATGTTAATTGTTTTCTAATATTATTTTTTTAAAAGTTAAAATGGTAACGTTTCGTGCAATAACGTATACAGTGCCCCTCTGCGGTAGTGAGTTTAACTACTCGTTAAATGATGTGTTTATTATATTCTATTATTATTTTTATTTAAATTTAAGAATTTGGGTGTTATTCTTTGGATAATAGTTATATTTTAAGCCAAATAAATACCTGAATGTTTTTTAATTGTTAAATGTTGAAAAACACAAGAATATTTTTTAACACCTAATTAGTTTTCAATTATTAATTTTTTTTTGCTTTAAATATTTTAATTTTTATCTGATTCTTTTTACTCTTAATTTTACCGCTGCTAAACATAACACATATTCATATGATTGACATGTATCATTAATCCTTTTAAATTAATCAAGGAATAAATACAGTTACGTATTCTTTCTAACCGTTACCACATTTATAGTCCTATTTTCATTTTCTTATATTATAAAAAATTCAATAAGGAGGAAATAAGTAGTAAATAAAAAAACTAAATGTTTTCTTTTATCATTGATGTTTATTCAGACAATCGTGTCCAGATATCAGACGAAACATGGCGACTGATTTCATCCTAAGCCGCTGAGGGACATTGATAATCTGTTTAAGCCATGGTTTGTTGGAATTGCGATTTTTGAATTCTTCGCCGAAAGAGTTCCTGAAGATGTTCTTTTTTAAGACATTATTAAAATTAAGTCTGGAATTAGATCTCTGGAGAACAGAGACCCCCTTTTCTTGTTAGGAATTTGGCTGCCTCATTTCCCTGGATTCCACAGTGGGCCGGAATCCATTGGTGAATTACTGTATTAGTATTATATGCAAACAAGTTGAGGATATTTAAGCAATTATCGATGGTTTAAGTTCTAGTGCATCAAT